GGCTGGATTGAACAAATGTTAAAGATGGGCGCCTAAGACATGGACAACAGAAGGCTACCAATGCGCAATGAAGCAGGAACTAGGATTCTAGTTTTCAAAGAAATGGGGCAGAAATTAAGCAATGCAGTAATGGTTTTTTCTTGTCATAGAAGAAATATGCGTTGGATCTTTTGAAAAAAATTCAATATGGACAATCGCAAACCAGTTTCTACTCCACTTGTTTTGCATGAAAAATTGTCCAAAAAGGATGGACGTGCGTATGTGGATGCTTCACAATATAGGAGTATAGTCAGCAACTTGCTCTATCTTACTTCAACAAGACTTGATATCATGTATGTTGCTAGTCTTCTATCTAGATTCATGAGTTCTCCTACTCAACTTCATTTTGCTGCTGCAAAAAGGGTGTTGAGGTATGCGAATGGTACTTCTGATTATGGACTTTGGTTTGAGAAAATTGATTCTGGTTCTTTGGTGGGGTACTCTGACAATGATTGGGCTCGTAGCTTAGATGTTGGAAGAAGCACTATTGGTTATTTATTCAAGTTTGGTTTTGATGTTTTTTGCTAGAACTCATTTAAGCAAGATGCAGTTGCTCAATCTACTGCTAAAGCTAAATATATTTCAATTGTAGAAGCCACAAATCATGCAATTTGGTTGAGGAAAATGTTGACTGATGTGGGATAGCCTCAACTTGGTCTTAGTTTGATTTATGTGGACAATATGTCAGCTATTGCAATTGCTCAAAATCCTACGCAATGTAAGAGGACTAAGCATATTCATGTCAAGTATCATGTAATCAAGCTGTAGATCAAGAACAAGCAAATTCAATTGTTTCATTGTAGCTCAGATGTTCAACTTGCTAATATTCTTACAAAGTCTTTGCCAAAGCAGAGGTTTGAAATGTTGAGAGAGTAGCTTGGAGTTACTAGACTTGCTCTCAAGGAGGAGTGTTGAAGCAATTGAGACCAAGTCTTTTAATTTTATTGTGACAGTTATGTGTTAGCACTTATCTTTATGTAACAGTTTTCTTTATGTGATTTTGTGATTTACGCTTCATGGTGTAGTAGTTTATTTTACAGTTACTTAACTTCCTTATTTTTTTAGTAACTGTCATGTTTGAGTTGCTGTTTTTCTTTGAAAAGACAGTATGTACCCTTTATGTTTTTGTCTATGTTTGCTGGTATATACTAGATAAAACTCGGTTTATGTTCTTTCAATTTCAGTATTTATGTTCATGTCAATTCAAGTTAAATCTTGAATTTATGTCTATTTCTACTCATATTACATATTTTCTTTCACAGAAAAATCAAAAATGGAAAGAGAAATCAGAGATGAGGGAAAAGGTGAACGCTTGGATGAGATTTGATGGTTCTGAGGGCATGGAATATGATGATGATGACTAGAGAGGAAAGAAGATGGATGCCGGCGACGAATGGTTGAAGCAAAGGGAGAGGAATCTGTGCAGGGAAAGGGGAGAAAAGCTGCTAGAAAAAGTTCAGGGTTTTCTTTTGGCCATAAAAGGGGAGAAACAGTGAGTTTTAGAGATGGAAATAAGTTGACTAATTCGGTCAACTGAGTTTAGGCCTTTTTTTTTTTATCAAGTTGGGTCGATGCTAGATTGGGTTTGGCTTGAATAAATGGTTGGTGGGCTCAATATTGGAGTTTGGGCTGAATTTGTGAATTTGTCTTGATGAATTTCACTCTCAAACTTCTAATTTCTTTGCCTGTGTCCCCTCTTGAATTTCCTTTCTTCAATTTCTTCACAAAACTTTTCTCTTTTTGCACATAGAACCTGAAACAAAAATAAAATATATTAGTTAAAGAAAGAGAAAAATTCGTTTCTTTTTTACAATTTTGTGTTTTCTTTTTTCATTTTAT